CCCAAGCCCCCCCCCCCCACCCATGGTCCCCCCCCCCGTGGCCTGGGATGGTGGTATGGTTCTTCTGGTCTTTCTTCCTGCCTGTGGCCTGTGGTGGTGGTATGCTGGTATGCTAGTATGTTGGTATGTTGGTATGTTGGTATGTTGGTATGTTGGTATGTTGGTATGTATGTTGGTATGTACGTATGTATGTTGGTATGTACGTATGTATGCTGGTATGTATGTTGGTATGTATGTATGTATGTTGGTATGCATGTTGGTATGTATGTTGGTATGTATGTTGGTATGGATGTTAGTATGTATGTATGTATGTAGGTAGGTAGGTATGTATGTATGTATGCATCCATGCATGCAGGTATGTATGTATGTATGTATGTAGGTATGTAGGTATGTAGGTATGTAGGTATGTAGGTATGTAGGTATGTATGTATGTATGTGTGTGTGTATGTATGTGTGCGTGTATGTATGTATGTATGTATGTATGCATGTATGTATGTACGTATGTATATATGTATGTATGTATGTATGTATGCTCCCGTGTCCCGTGTTCCCGAGAGCGTGAGCTTGGGGGGCCATACCATTGGGGGGTGGGGGCCAGGGATGTCCAGACTCATACATACATATCATACATACATACATACGTACATACATACATACATACATAACATAACATAACACAACACAACACAACACAACATACATACATACATACATACATAAATATATAACATACATAACATACATACATACATACGTACGTACGTACGTACGTACATACCTACATACCTACATACATTACATTACATTACATTACATTACATTACATTACATACATACATTACATAACAAAACATAACATAACATAACATAACATACATAAAACATTACATTACATTACATACATACACACATACACACATACATACATTACATACATTGCATACATTACATACATACATGTATACATACTTACATTACATTACATTACATTGCATTACATTACATTACATTACATTTCATTTCATACAAACATACATACATACATACATACATACATACATACCATGCATACATACATACATACATTACATACATACATACAGACATACATTACATACATATCATTACATAACATAACACAACACAACACAACATTGCATTACATTACATTGCACTACATTACATTACATTACATTACATACATTACATACAAACATACATACTAATAAATTAAAATGCTTAATATAAAAACTCCAAATCTTCGGACAGACCCTAATAATAAACACCCCGAGGTTGACTAGTTTTTATTATTGGGGGGCGAAACCCACAAATGGCAGCTCTATGTTTAAATTGTTTTCTAAAGGTGATCAATTAAAAGTCAAATTGGCCAATCTGAAATTTTCCAAAATTGGAGATGGACCCTAGTTTTTTTTATTTGGGGGGGGTTAGGAAGAGGGGGAAGGGAGTACATACATACATGCAGACAAACAGACAGACATACATACACATAAATATGTATGTCGATCTATATACATATGTACATGTATACATTTACGTACATGGAGATAGATGCAAATACATGTTGATACGGTTTTATAAATGCAAAACACATGTCGAAAAAACAAACATGTAAACAACTGTAAATCAATGTGCGTACACCATATACATGTTTGTACTTACATGTATGTATGCGCAAACCCTGGGTCTCGCCGTCGCTTCATCTGTCAGTTCTCCCTCCGCAAATTTGTATGTCGCGCGGGCGAAACGCTGATTTGACAAACATGAGCATTTTGTTCCCTTGGACTCACCGAAAAATTCGTGCACCAAAAGCGTCTTACAAGTTCCTCAAAAGGATACGAGAGTAGCATCAAGAGCGCGTTACAAGTTCTTTGAAAAGGCTAGGAGCATAGCGTCCAGAGCTTTGAGAAAGTCAAGGGCGTAACACCTAAGAGCGCTTTATATATAAGTTACTTGAGGAAGTTAAGAACCTAACATCAAGAGCCCGTTGACAATTCCTTAAGGGCGAAGCAGCAAGAGCGTGCTACAACTTCCCTGAGAAAGTTGAGGGCATAGCGGCATAACATCAAGAACACGTTAAAGGGCAACTGAAAAGCTAAAAACGTAATATCGAGAGCGTGTTAGAAGGTACGAGTACTTGAGAAAGTTTCATAGCGTAACATCAAGAGCGTAGTTAGTTGAGAGAGTTAAGATCGTAGCAGCAAAATGGTATTACAACATCTTTGAAAAAGAATGTGTTACAACCTCCTGGGGCAAGTTAAGAGCGCAATTAGCATCAAACACACACGTGAATGTAACGTTATTAGCAACCCACCCAGCCCCTCCCAAACCCTCCCCAACCCGAACTCACCCCGCAAATCAACAAAACTATTTATACGAAAAAAAAAACGAAGCAAACACACTTTGAAAACATCCTGCGCCTGCGGACAAACATGAAGATAGACTTTTTTTGGATGGTTGCAAAACCTTGCACCTGCCAAGCAAAATTGACGTTGCATTACTTCACCTGCACAAAATTAAACGTTGGGAAAACATGGAAAAACAAATGACGTTTGAGGCCACGCGAGACACACGGTTTGCGGGTATATGTAATATTATGTAATATGCATTTTTTTGTATGTACTGGTTTAATTTGTAAACTGTAAACGTGTGTGTATAAATGTGTACGATATGTGTATGTACGTCAGTGTCTGCATATCTCTGTATTTACATCTAACACCTGGGCATCCCTAGGTTGACCCATGAAGTTCCATATCTCACCGGGGGATCTTCCATCCCCAGGTTAGATTACCAGAGGGCAATGCACTTACCCCATGATAGTTAAAAAAACACAAGGTTTTATCTAAGATGTTCATAACCCAGCATGTTTGACAAGGATTTCAGGGATCACATCTGGCCCCGTTCAAAAACTCTATTCGACCATCATCCATGTCATCCACCGCATAGGTGGGCAGACAAGGGCACCAGGTGCTGACGGGATGGTCGCCAGCTGGGACATACCCAGGTAGCCGGTTTGTTTCCTTTGGCATTCGGGTGATCAGAGCGAGACGGCTTCGGTTGACCATTGGGTGATTGACATGGGCCCATGCGAAAAACATCTGGAAAAAAAACCCAGATTCAAGTGAACCATGTACATTGATTCATATACATTTCGTTCCTGCCTCTTCAGGCATCTGCAAAATAACAACCTAGAGCTTCTAAATCTCAACATATTTTGGTCGATGCCCTTTGTACTACTTTTTCTGATCGATATTCCAAGAAGTAGACGTTTGAGTCGTTTCAGGTTGTTTTAAGCCAAAACTATACGTTTCACAGAAAAGTAAGCGACCCCACCATTGAAGGGCAAGATCTGCCCCCTAACCCTTCACCTGCCATGTTGGTACCCTTTACCGCCTAGGCAAGTCTTGGGCAAAATCCACTTCAAGGTGAAACCAATGAAATCATGATGTAAATCCATATGCAGTACAGCTTCAGTGTCAAATGTAGCAGTTAAGCAGCAAGATTTTGCAGATGTGAATGTAGTCACCCTTTCTGCTCAAGCTAGGATTCCCTGCCTGGGTCAATATTATGGTTACAAATTTGGCTGAAGCTTATGGAAATATCATGTTTTGAAGCAAACCCTCTGGAATTGTAAAGAACATGATTGACCTAGTTTTTGGGATTTGTGGCCGTCTGATGGTTTTTGAGGCCGTTTGCTGGGATTTTGAGGTCGTTTTGAAGAATTGTGTAGGCGCAAACTTTTGCCTTTTTGTTCATGAAAATCCATGAAAATCATTGAAAACCTGTAG